CAGGGCGGGCGGAGGGAGCGGTTATGGCCCCTCTCAGTCCCGTTCCCAGAGGCTCTGCTTCTCAGAACCCCCGGAACCGCTGCAAACCTCGGAGGGAAAGCTGCCTTCCAACTGATGCCAGACACTCCCGCTTCTCCCGTTTGGGTCCGAGTCCCCAGCGATTCGCCCGTATCTGGAGCTCAGAGTCTGAGACTCCCCCCTGACCGAAAACGACAACCGCGCTCTCAGCCACCAGCCCGCTTTGCGCGCGCACCTCCGCACCTGAGTATTTTCCACACTGCGCCTCCTCTGAGCCTCGGTGTGCTGTTATTTTTCCTTCTAGTTGAAGAGTCTCTCCTCAGCCAGCTTTCCTGCGGTTCTGGGTGATGTCCGTTCCGTCTTTTAGTTGTATTTTTGAAGTGGTTGTTTGCGGCAGCAGTCTCCGGTGTTTACCTATGCCGCCATCTTGGTCTCTCCTCCACTGTTACAGATTATTACTTTGTAAATCACATTTTATGTTTAAATTAGAAGTGGGTAATAATTGTCTACTAAGTGAAAATGGTTTCCCTTCACTTAAAGTTTCAGGTATAGATTTTTCAAATCCTGCACTTGTAAGATCTAAGAAGTGAAAGTTGAGTGATATAAGGATAAAAAAATATAAGGATAGAGAAAGGTTGCAGAGGAAGGGTAGGAGCAGTGAGATGTCATGACTATATGCTTTTGCAGAGCTAGTTTAGACATCTTTGCCTATTAGCCCATATAATGTACCCTATTTTGATAAGTGGGATTGTTCTTCTTAGGACCTGGTATTTGTTATCTAATGCACTGTTTGTTTGTTTTTATCTCAGTCACATCGATCAGACAACAACATGGCAGGATCCCAGGAAGGCTATGCTCACCCAGATCAATGTTACAGCCCCCACCAGTCCACCAGTGCAGCAGAATATGATGAACTCGGCCTCAGGTGAGTTAGACGCTGTAATTAGACCACACTGAATAATGCTTGTGCATTGGTAAAACTTTCTGTGGAAAATAGTAATTATTCTTCTAAGAAAACTGGATCCTGGGTGATGGTTATTTTCTATCCAGTTTCACAGGGGAGACTTACTTATTTCAAAGTAACATACTACGTATATGCCAAAGCATTGTTTAGTCATTAATACATAAAGGGGCTGATGTCTAAAAGACAACAGATTTTAAAGTTTTAATTCTGAAGTGAGTATCTCAAATTCCTAGTTTGGTTAACTTTGACATGCTTGTGTCTGTGGTCTTAGAGTTGAAGGTTTCCCCCTTCCTTTTGTGGTTTGGATTGGAAATCAAGCTATGGTGTTCCTAACCCCCTACCTTTTAAAGCAGATATTTCTTCTATCTTGAGATTAACTGGAAGATAGTAACTTATAAACCCCAAGGCATTTTTCTTAGGTCTAGTATGTGTTATTGAGCATGTTTCCATCTTTTTCATAGGAGATAAATCTGAGTATAAATTTTTTTTTTTTTTGCCTCTTATTTGGCAAGTTACTTAAATCTGCTGTTTTTCTCATCTACATAATGAGGAATGACATTGCCCCTTCTTATAGAGAGGAAGATATTAAATGAAATGATACAGTACATATAAAGCTATTATTACAATACATTAATAGGTAGTAAGTAAAGGCTTATTTCCTTTTTCCCTAGTAAGTTAGATACTGTTAGCTTTTTTTCTTCTTTGTTATATGGGCTCAAGTTCATAGCTACTCCATTATGCATCTTTGTGCGTATTAGAAAAAGGTGACCCTTCCTCTGGGCAGATGCAACCCCATGCCTGGCATCAGGACTGAGGCATTTGGGCTGGATTTCTGACCACTCCTCTGCCTCCCACACTTTGTCCCCTTTGCTTAGTGCCCTGGTTTAAGGCACAGATGGCAACAGTAATTGGCAGTTCTCACCGATGTATCTTCATAGCTCATACATCTTCCCTATCCAACAAACTGACCAACTTAATATTATAGCTGCACTATAGATTTTCTTAGCAGCAGCCTTTGGAAAGGGATTGATGGAAGTGGGGAGGGTGATGCAGTTGGTTGACAGGAGGATTCCTTGACCTTAGAGTGTGCAGAATTTGAAATGTCTTTGCCCCTGAAGATGATGCCAGAGTGTTGGAATGTTTCTACTGTTCCATCACACTCTCCTCTTCCTTTTGGTGGGTTAAACACATTTCTAATGAGTTAAAAAACAGCCCAGCCGGCCTGGCTCAGTGGTTGAGTGTCGACCTCAATGTACCAGGAGGTCATGGTTTGATTCCTGTCGGGGCACATGTCCAGGTTGTGGGCTCGATCTCCAGTGTGGGGCATGCAGGAGGCAGCTGATCAATGATTCTCTCTCGTCATTGAAGTTTCTCTTCCTCGTCATTCCTCTCTGAAATCAATAAAAAAATATATTTTTTTAAAAAGAGTTAAAAGCTGAAAATGTAAATGTAGACAAGGTTTATGAATGAGATTTTCTTGTTATAAATTTTGTTTATATAAACTCTTGAAATAAGATTCATTCCTTAAATCTTCCATTTTAATTTATTTTAATAAGAATTCATTTACTTATTCTCAGAATCTGTTTTATGTGTGACATTTAAATTTTAAAAATTTAAAAGCAAAAATTATGCAAGTATTTATTAACTAATATTTTTACTTGGCAGCTTTTCTTTTTAATTATCAGATTTCCAAATACAAGTTATATTTATAGCTCAAAGAAGATGATTGAGATTATTCATTTTTGTCATGCTCCATCTAAAATTATACCTAAGAAATTAGTAACAAATAACTCCTACTCTCCTACTGGAAGAGTAGGCATTTTGCATCTAGAATGGTTAATTATTATTCTTTTGGAACATTGGGTGTTTTTTTCCTATTAAACTTTCTAATGGTAATGGTCAATGGAAATGGAAATCTTTATTCAAATTTATGTTCAAAATCAAAAGTATATATCAAATTGGTTTTAGAATATTTGCATATTTTATTTCCACTCTGAATTTTAATTGTAAAATATGAAATGTGTTCATTATATACTGCATATAAATTAGTAGGCATGCTTAACAGGTGTATTTTTTAAATTAATTTATTTACAGATGGCATACAATGTTATACTAGTTTCATATGTACAACAGAGTGATTAGACATTTCTATACCTGACTAGAGGCCCGGTGCACCAATTCGTGCCTGGCCGGCAGTCGGGGCCAATTGGGGCCAGCTGGCGGTGGGAGGGACTGTGGAGGTTGGCCAGCCATGAGAGGTTGGCTGTTGGAGTGCACTGACCACCAGGGGGCAGCCCCTGTGTTGAGCGTCTGTCCCCTGGTAGTCAGTGCACATCATAGCGACCTGTTGTTTGGTCCACCAGTCATAACAGTCGCTTTTAAGTTTTATATAATAAAAGGGTAACATGCAAATTGACCAAACGGTGGAACGACTGGTTGCTATGACACGCATTGACCACCAGGGGGCAGACGCTCAACGCAGGAGCTACCCCCTGGTGGTCAGTGCGCTCCCACAGGGAGAGCACTGCTCAGCCAGAAGCCCGGCTTATGGCTAGTGAGCACAGCGGCGGTAGTGGGAGCGTCTCTCGCGGCAGCGCTAAGGAGCAGTGAGCTGAGCAGTAAGGAGCAAGGGGCCCCGGACGCCAGAGGGTGCAGGCCAGGCTGAGTTCGCACACCCCCCCCCCACCCCCCACCACCAGTACCACCAGTGCATGAATTTCATGCACCGAGCCCTCTAGTTAAATAATAAGAAGCGTATTTATATGCCTGGCATTCTGCTAAGTTTATTTTGTACTATCTCATTTAATTCTCATAATGGTCATTTAGGTTAAGTGTTGTTATTAGGCTCACTTTACATATGAGAAAGCTTGAGTAACTTTCCCCAAATAACACAGCTTTTAAATGGTAGAAGCCAAGATTCAGACTCTGGTAGTGGGGTTCCAGAGCCCATGCTCTTAGTCTACATGTGACTAGGGTTAGGGTAAGTGACAGAGTAAAGCCTCAGAAAACAGATGGGATAGGATCTGTTAATGCACTGGAGGCACTATTTTAAAATATCAGTAGACATACTGGAGAACTCTTTCTACAGAAGGTGATGGGTGTGGGGATGATGTTTGCTTAAAGAGATTTTGTATATGATAAAATGGACACTGTACCTTAAAGAAGAAAGAGTATTTCACAAGGACACTAGAGGTCATTTTCTTTAATGGGAAGGTCAGACAGTATGATCAGTTAAGAAAGGAAGAGCCCTGGCCCATGTAACTTGGTTTCCTTTTTCTCATTTGGAAATTTAGATAAATTATGAAAGGTAGCCACAGGAAAGAGGATAATAGTAAAAAGCAAAAGCATGTAATCTAGAATTAATATAACTAATTCTTTTTTAAAAATTTTTTTTTAAAAACTTGATTTCAGAGAGAAAGGAAGAGAGGCAGAGAGAGATAGAAATATCAATGATGAGAGAATCATTGATCAGCTTGCCTCCTGCACGCCCCACGCTGGGGATCAAGCCTGAAACTCGGGCATATGCCCTGATCAGGATTGAACCCTGACCTCTTGGTTCATAGGTTGATGCTCAACCTCTGAGCCACACTAGCTGGGCATAACTAATTCTTAAGAAATTCAGTTGTTTTATATAGTTTATTTTGATTTGTTGATGATTAAGTTCCTGAAAAATGATTACTAATACGGAAACAAGAACCATTTTTGTGATTTAAAAATAGGACCAGCACATTTCATTTTAATAAAAGTTATAAATAAAATGTAAGGACTATGAAAATAAAAATGTTTATTTGTGAAATAGAAAAAAATAATTCAGTGAGAATGCCCAATAAAGTTGCAAATGACGTTAGCTTTCAATTATTATATCTTCTTTAGTACTGTAGTTCTGAAGTATTTCTTAAACCAAGTGGCACCTTCTAATATTGATGGATTCTTGACTTTGCTGCTTAATGAAGCATGCCACTCATGTCAGAGCAGCTAATAGCCTGTTTTATTCTGATTGTGAGAGCATTTCACACCATCTCCACTGGGGATCACTTAAAAAAAATGTTTTTATTTTTTTCAGAGAGAGGAAGGGAGAGGGAGAGACAGAACCATCAATGATGAGAGAGAATCATCAATCGGCTGCCTGTTACCTCCTGGTTCACGGGTCAGTGCTCAACTACTGAGCCACACCGGCCGGGCTGGGGATCACTTGATGTTAAGTGATTTGGTCATGATTTTTAACTTAATAATATTTTCTAAATAATATTAAAACTCAGCCCTGGCTGGTTGTTCAGTGGTTAGAGCATTGGCCCGAGGACTGAAGGGTTGTGGGTTCCATTCCTGGTCAAGGGCACATACCTCAGTTGCAGGCTTGTGTGCAGGAAGCAGCCAATCGATGAATGTCTCTCACGTTGATGTTTCTCTCTCTCTCTCTCTCTCCCTCTCTCCCCCCCTCCTCTTACCCTTCCACTCTCTCTAAAAAATCAATGGTAAAATATCCTCTGGTGAGGATTAAAAAAAACTTAGATTACCTGGGCAAAGCAGCAACATTTGGCAAATGGAACAATAGTTGTTGGCTGATAAATTGCTATTCTTTTTTTTTTTTTTTTTTTATATTTATTGATTGATTTCAGAGAGGAAAGGAGAATGAGAGAGAGAGATAGAAACATCAATGATGGGAGAGAATCATCGATCGGCTGCTTCCTGCACGCCCCCCACTGGGGATCGAGCCCGCAACTCAGGCATGTGCCCTTGGCCGGAATCGAACCTGGGACCCTTCAGTCCGCAGGCCGACACTCTATCCACTGAGCCAAGCCGGCTAGGGCAAATTGCTATTCTTTATGCTGAGTCTGTTCAGCTGGGCTTCTAAAATAAACACCCCTCCTCCTCTTAATACATCAGCAAAACAATTGGCTTGTACAATCTATTACATTTTTTAAAGAACTCATTTGTTCATTCCTTTAATGAAGAAACCCAAA